AAAGATATGATACAAGAGAATATTTGCATTTGGTAAAAGCGGATCTGCAGGAGCGGCGTCAGAGCGCTGTGGATGGACACTGGAAGGCGCGAGTGAATTTATTGCAGATATACCATATAGAAAGTGAAGACATCAATAACTGTTATCATTATGTTAACTGTATGGTAAGCATCAAAAAAATGGAAGGGAGAGGAGGAGCAAAAACGGACTATCAAACTTAGCTTTAAGTTTATGTGTCGGCTCCTGAACCTCCTTAAGTAGAAGCTGCCAAAGAACTGATTAAATAGGTATGGTAGGTGGCATGTGTTTATAAAATTTGCCGACTTCCGTCCAGCTGGAATGCAGCCTTCAAACGCGCTACAAAACGCTTGAACGCAGCAGCGTTAGCTCATTTCCTCCTTAGAAAAGGAGAGATGGGGGCAGAAATGTCAGAATGCAACGACGGCAAGAAATATACGGTGAAATAAAACAAATTTTGGGGAACTAAGAAATACCACACCTACACAATTCTGCGGCAGTTTCTGAGTAGATCAACTTCTACCATATCCGCCATATAAGAAAAAGAGAAGTGGGAATGTCAAAAAGATGATTATTTTCGAGGATTGGAAGGCGATTCTCTAGACTCTGCTTAGCAAAACTGCTCCCTCCGTGCAGGACTATGAATTCCGACACAGGCCCGAGCCGCTGCGTTTGTGAGTGAAGATGTAGTGACTGCCCCCAACCTTCTTTGGAAGAAAACAGATAATAAGACTTCACTTTTCTTACGCAAATTTTGAAAAATGTGCTCGCAAGAAAACGGGTAGAATCTTTGTAAACTCTTAATGAAAACCTTCTTCTATCTAAGCCAACTTACCTTTCGCTTTCCTGGCGGAGCTGGATCAAAGATTCGCGTCTGCATTTCTGAGGGAAGAGCACCATACACTGGCAAAATGATTAATTCAGGCACGTCCGGGCCCAAGGCTTTCATACGTTCATATAAAACTTCACAAGATGTATCGATTTCTTCCTAAAATAACTTAGTACGATACCGCCACCTCTATGAAAAAGAAGGACAATGAAAGTCTGCTCATAATTGATTCGCACCTGTCCAGTGAGGAAAACAAGGATATCGCCGGGTGGCTCTGTTAGATGTATCTGCATAACAGTGATGTGAGCAGCATCGAGGTAGTCCGTTTCTGGTTCTCTCGTGTAAAGGATCTCTACAGGAAAAGTCCGCCCGGGAATCGTAAAAATGGGTGCCTCGAAGAAATATTCAGAAAACTTCACAGCGTCCAGGGTTGCACTGTAATGCTACGTAAGTGTTACTTCAAGAAGCAGCTATCAGGGACAAGAGCGAACATACCTGGTGATAATGAGTTTTAGGTCGGGGCGTTTTTTGGCAGCGGCTTTGAGCAAACCAAACAAGACGTCTGTATTTATTGTTCTCTCGTGGGCTTCATCTAGCATAATTACTGAGTATGACGTAAGATCGGGATCCACAAGACATTCACGCAGGAGCATACCATCCGTCATGTACTTTATTATGGTGTCCTGACTGAAATTTAGAAATTGGAAAAAA